GAACAAAGCCCCCACTGGCTTTCTTAGGCAGCCATGAAGAAGAGCCTAAGGGACATTAAAAGTGTAACAGGCACAGTCATCTCTGATGCCTTCTCAAAAAGGCAATGCCGAGAGTTTTGCTTGCTCACACTTGCCATCTTTTCTCTTTCCCCTTCCCTTCCTCTTCCCCAGATCTGAAACTGATGGTGTTGCAGACGTTTTAGAGATTTTCATTGCTCAATGATTTTGCAACAGGAAAGTAAGGAAGGCTAATTTTTGAAGTAAGAAAGCATACTTTCCTTCTTTGCTGCCAACTCAGCATCTTTCTGAATTTTTCATTCTCCTGTTCCACTTCTAATCACAATGACTGAATTCTGGATTTACAATGAGGGATGGGGGGTAGGCTATTCTACCCTGTCAACGTGTCTGGGCTCTTTGTCACCCGGAAACCACACAAATGTCCCCTGATTTGATTCATTTTTACACATTTGTCTGAGTACAGTGCACATCTTTGCTAATAATGTTTTCATTGAGATTTTGCTTTTTCTCTTTGCTTTTGGTTGTTCTTTCGAGAAAATGTGAGGGAGAGGCAGGAAGACTGAACACGTAAGAAGCAAGAGACTTTATCAAAAATGCAAGGTGGGCTTTATCTCGACAACTTTTCACGGTTTGTCCCGAAACTGGGTTTGTCTTTGTTTCTGTTCCTATTGCAAACAAAAGCGGAATGGAGGAGTTGCTTCCTCTTTGTACATCTCACTTTTCCCTTCTGATCTTTCCTCTGTCTCATGACGAACTGCAACTTCTGCAGCTGTTGGAAAATGTGTTAGTTTGTGGGCAGGGTGGCGGCGGGAACGACCAGCTAACAATCAGAAAAACCTTAATATTCAACACTAATCTGGAAGTAAACTCAGCAGATAGCAATCTTGGTGGTATCTGAGTGCAGGCAGAATTTTTAGAGTGGGATGGGAACTCAGAGGTCATCTGGTTCGACCTTTTGCAAGAATCTGGGATCAGGCTGCCTGTATCTGTTTTTCTTAAGTCTGTGGGTTCATTGCCAGAAATGAGGTTTCTACTGATTTAGCAAGCCTGTGGGAGATAAAAGCTGCATGAGAAAATCTAAATCATAGGCTTAACGTTCTATTGCCCAGTCACACTGGTGTAGTGCAAAAGGCCTAACTTTTTGAAGTGAAGTGCTTCAAGTAAATAAATCTCTGTGGATTCTGTGTTCAATAGATAATGTCAGTTAACATCTAAAGGTTATGCCTTTCAGCCTCTGAATCAATTCTGAAAGGTTTACTTGAAATGAAAAGTTGTATTTGAGATCATGACTGAGAAGGCTATCCGTAATCATATTTTGTAAGATGGTTGTTTTTCCCCCTCCTCATTGCAACTGGCTAGTAGAGGTTTGGAAGCCAAAAAAGTCACTTTTTGAAGTCCTTTGAATTGTGCCTCAAATGTTTCAGCTTCTGACATCTCCTCTTTCCTAAGGCCAATGTTACCAATGCCTGTGACAACTGTTTAGCCCTTCGTCCCTCTTTCAAAGCTACCTCGTTCCCAGAAATACTTCCCCCTCCCACTACTCCAGTGGTTCTCAACTTTGGGTAACCCAGGTGTTCTTGGACTGCAACACCCAGAAACTCCAGCTAGCACAGTTAATTGTGAAGACTTCTGGGAGTTGCAGTCCAAGAATACCTGGGTTACCCAAGGTTAGGAACCATTGCACTACTGCACTGGTTCTTAACCTTGGGTTACTCAGGAGTTTTGGACTGCAACTCCCAGAAGCCTTCACCACCAGCTGTCCTGACTGGGGTTTCTGGGAGTTGCAGTTCAAAAGCATCCGAGTAACAAAGGTTAAGAATGACTGCACTACTGTATTCAGTAACCTCTCTCATAATCCCATTAGCAGATTTTTGGCAAAAAGGGATTTGTTCACATAGGCCAAGAGGAAAAGGAAGAGCTGTTGCTCTTCAGATGTTTGTGGACTCCAATTCCCATCAGCCTAACAGGCCAGGTATAAGGGAGCTATCACCCAACTTCTGGAGTTTCTTTGTTCCTAATGATTGTACACAAGAGTTTTGTAGGGGATGTTCTAACTGTGGATGTCTGCTTTGGCAGAGGGCTGGACTTGATGACCGTTGGGTCCCTTTCAGCTCTGCAAATCTGTGATCCTGACACCTGTGTATCTTGCTAAAGTTAGTTTCATTCTTCAATCCTAAGGAATGTATTTCACTTATTCCAGTTTATGTGTATGGGAATTTCAGAATTCCAGGTTAATTATTCCTCCTCCACCCCTGGACCAACATTCATTCCTTTTATATTCGTATATCCAATGAATAACAACAGTAAGCCAGAACCTCGAGATGGGAAGTGGTCATAAAGTGATTGGGTTTAGTGTCTGTGGAAATTATCTAGATCTCAGAAGGAATGTGATATTATGAGCTCACCACTGCCCTTAGTGAACTACCATGGAAAAGCTGGTGCTGCTTTAAGGGAGAACAGACTTTTCCAATGAGCAAACCCACATGTCCAGGGTTCAGTGGTAACTTAGCAAAACAGGTCACTGAGGGCAGCATTAATAGTGCCAACTTTCCACAATAGGAACCAGCAGACGGTTAAAGATCACTGAAGTGGGAGCGATGTGGCCCCCCCCTCCCAATCGAAAGTGCACAGTCTTCCAGGAGAACAGAGAAGTCAGCAGCTGTTTCATTGATGGAAACATGGCTTTTTTGGATGATGACACACACACACCCAAATCCTACCACTAGCAGCTGTAGTTCCCCAAACACCATGTTTCCCAGCTCTCCTCTATTGAGATAGCAGGGGTGGCCCAGGACATTTTGCTGCCTGAGGCAAAGCAGTGAAAGGCAATCTGCTCTCCCAAAGTCAAGGTACTCTAAAGCAAACAAGTCATGTTGGTTCTTTAGGAAGGGAGATCTCACAACGGGCTATTCCTTCTTTCTGGAAGTAGAAACCAGGGCCTTGATATAACATCTTAAAGTAGCCATGTTTCTTATCACTTGTTTTTTAAAGTGCCAAAGGCCAATGTTGATATTTTTAAATCTTTCAACATAAAACACACACATTTAAGGGTTTTTGCATAAACTGTAAAACCTGTTATGGTACTCTTGCTATTTAGGGAGATGAGATTTGGAAGCTGGACTATTTAGGGCTATTAAAAAAATACTACTGTTGCTGTTACATATTACAAGAGATGACTACCAAGCAACATGTTGCTTTTTAAAGGAACGGTTCTAAGCTCATGTAAAAATGTAATCATATGTCTGTTTGCTTCTTTCTCATAATACCCAAACTCTATAGCCTGAGGCTGCTGCCACACGATGCTGAGGGGTATCCTTGCCAGACAGTGGGAAACCTTCCTCAGTTTTCCAGTGCAGAGCAGATAAGCTATTGCTGCACTGAGGATGTTTATTCCATGTAGTAGAAACAACTGAGAGGGTTCAACTACATGTCGGAGCACTCCTGGTTTTACATCTGGTTTAGCACACTTGAAATTGCTTTTAAAATATCAGGAACAAAATAGATAGCTGACTTTTGTGTCATTGGGGTGTACGTGAAGGCTTCACTAGCAAATTGATGAGGCATGGAACTTTGAAGGAATTAGGACTGTGTAAGGAAAGCATGTTATTGGTTTATAACAGGGGTCAAGGAACTTTTTTACCTTTTACTCCCCCCAAAAATTTATATAAGCCAACATTACCCCCTTGATTTGAAAGGAAGGAAATGATACTGTATTTGATGAAGCCACCTTTTTTCCTGCCTTAATTCAAGCCTTGCCTGTTCCTTTTTTCATAGTTTTGAGTCCCTTTCTCTCTCTCTCTCTCTCTCACACACACACACACACACACACACACACGTCCACCCACCCACCCTCTATCCATCCATTTTCTCCATTCATTAAATAAGCTTGATGAAGCCCTCAGTCTCTAGCACCTTCCTTCCCCTTATTAACTTGATCCTTTCCCACCTCCTGCTTGCTTGCATTCATTTCCGGAGGAAGCAGTCATTCAAAGCCCTGGATTGATTGCTCGGGGGCTATTCCACAGCTGTAGCCAATTAAGCAGGCATATCTCTGAACGAAAGACGAAAGGAGGATTTACAAGTGCCTGCTGCAACCAGGAAGTATCAGGGAGAGGTGGCTTACAATTTGAGGTTTGGGGTAATTTACCCCTGTTTCCCACTGGTTTATAATGATGTGCTAACAATATCATGGTCGTTTGACTCCAAAGAGGATGGTGGAACAGCTACAGAGATGACAGAAGAAACACTATGATTTGTATTAATGAATGCTGAGTTTTTGATTTGGAGAAAGATTGTTGGGGTGGATACAGGATCTCCGTATGAGTGGTGCTGAATTTTTTGCCTAAGGCATGACTGTGTGTGACACTGGTAGACTTGAACTTCTCAATATTCTTTCTGTCTCATTCATTTTACCTTTTATTTGTATGGTTCAATCATACATGATTGCATCCTTCATCTTATGTGCAATGGAACTGGAGTAATACAAACATCATAGTCCTTGGCTCTCCAAGCTACTTGAAGAGTTGAAAAATTGCTTTTAAAAAGTTTTAGATCACTTCCACTCAGACACAATAATATTTTTGCATGACTGCACATGCATGCACACAGACATACACAAACACAATAACAGAATAATTTTTTGGAAGAAAAATATGGATTTATTCCTTCAGATCGGTCCAGTCCTATCAGAAAAAGGACTGGACTGCAAGAAATTAATACAACTATATTTTGCATACAAAGATCCTTAAGTATAAACTTTAAAACATATATATTATTTTTATCCATAGTATTATTTATAACATACATAGTATGCCACTTTACAAAAAAATTCAACCACTTAACAAAATATAGACCTATTTCATAAAAGTTTACATAATCATCCCATGGGATGTACCAAAATACATTCTTGAAACAGTTTTACTGACATCCAAAACATCATGTTTTAAATGTATTCAACATCTTCAAGAGCAAAGGAAGTTTTCTTTTTTCCATAGGAACACAAAATAATATATCATTCATGACATTCAAAGACATGTTTATTTTAGGAAACACATGGTCTCATAGCCATAAATTAACCCTACCTTCGGAACTGTTATTAATCCCCAAAGATTATGCAGCATTTTAACACTAATTTTGCATTCCAAGTGGATCACATGCTCACAGTGGCTACTACTTGTGATCCACAAATTACTCATGTTAGCATGCCAAAGCTTATTCCATGCCATCTCGCAATTCCTTACATGCAAGAAAACATTCTGAGAAACAACATACATTATGACAGACTCCACCCAAATGCAAGCATGTCAGTATAGAGCCTTCCTAAATAGCAGCTTAACATGTACTCCTAAAGTTGTAATAGTTTTGGGGGGGTGTAGTTTGCACCAATTTACAGCTTTTTGCACAGAACTGATCAAATGCCCCTGGACTCAACCAGAAAATGAATATTATAAAGGAAAACCTTTTGTGGCACAGAAATTCCATAATTCATTTTTTGCCTTGTTTTTAACCTTGTTTTTCAAGACCTTGTCATAGTGTTCTTTTTGAGGTCAAGCAGAATGTGGGCAAACCAAATCCTTAGGACTCCTATATGCATTTAGGATTTCCCAAGCCTGTAGCCCCGACCCCCCGAAAATAGCAGCAGAAAGAAAGAAAGAAAGTAAATAAGAAAGAAAACACATGTATTCACTTAGCACACACTGAATGTTATTCAAACAATGTGTTTGCACAAGACAAGCATCATACACCACACACCATTAGCCTGCCTTTGGACAAGTAAACTACTGTTGTTGTTTCATTAAAGTTCTGAAAAAAGGTTCATTTTACAAATTCCTTCAAGTGATAAAAAGCATTGCACACTCCTCCTTCCAATTAAAAAAAAAGTCATCCAAGAGAAATTCTTTCTTCCTGATCAGCACAGGGAATTCCCACATCTACTAACAATGAAGTCCTGTTGAAGTCCTCAGACCATGTTGAAATAGCCAGCTAATGTTCCAAGGTCAATATACAAAGATCGTTGCCTCTTGAGCAGTTCTGATTCCTCAGTAATCGCAAAGCTTGAAGAATCTGATAAGGAAGATTAAAAATAAAAAAGGAAAAGAAGAGGATCACAATATTATAATATATTACAATACACTACAAGGCCCATTTCAGAGCAGCTGATTATGCCTGATTTGTGTTTTATTATAGTCTAAATTACTAATTGTTTTTTAAACTTAATACCATGAAGCAGTGACGTTTGCAACTAAACAACCAGATTTACTTAAGTAATATGAATTGTAATAAGCAATCAAAGAAGTGTACTTAACTAATGCTGTATAGCAGTGTTCCCCAAACTTGGGTCCCCAGATGTTCTTGGACCAAAACTCCCAGAAGTTTTCATCACTAGCTGTGCTGACCAGGATTTCCGGGAGTTGTAGTCCAAGAACATCTGGGAACCCAAGGTTAGGAACGACTGCTGTACAGGGTTCTGAACACATAGATGTCAAAAAAGGATATAGTGAGGAATAGAGATAGGGAATCTTTGGCTTCCCAGATATTGTGGAATCTATGGCAAAACATCTGGAGGACCAAAAGTTCTCCATCACCATCGCAGAACCAGAAAATATGCAGAAAGGACCAAACAAGATGATCAGGGATAATGTTTTAAGCATTTTGGGGGGGGGGAATGGATGGATGTAGCAGACTGGTATTTAAAATATGCGGTGTTCTAAGTGCTTGATCTTTATATTAGAACCATGACCAGAAATACAATTTAAAATTGAATATATAACACAGCATTGTTTTAATTCCGATTTTGATGGTTCTCTTTCCACAAAGTGGGGGGGAAACGGAATATCCAGGATCATAGAGACAAATTATTTCATAACTCTGGAAGCTCCAATGAAGAGTTTCCTGCAGGATTATGTAGATTTGTCATGGAACTGATTTCACAAGAATTACAGAAGCTAACTGGATTTCTTCCAGATATTTCATTGTGATCCTGGACTGCCTTCCGCCTGCTAAAATCTCTGCTTCAGTAGAAAGTGCTTAAACCTCAACTTCACTGTAACCTGTTTAGAAAAACCTTGAGTGGGGCCTCAAGGACTATCAGCCCTCTAGATGCTATTAGACTACAACTCCCATAACCCCCTCACCATTGGCTATGTTGGCTAGGACTTCTTGGAGCTGAAGTCCAGAACATCTGGCAAGGCAATGGTTTCCCATCTCTGGGTGAGAGATAAGAGAGTAAGTGTTGTACCAGTAATGTTCTCAGGCAGTTCAAGCTCCTTCTGTTTTCGTTCGAAGAGAGCTGAGTCCAGACTCTGACATCGAGGCTGTTCCTCCCGTGGTGGGTGCAAAGCCACGTGTTTGAGCAATTCTGTCGCAGAGGGTCTCTGGTTTGGATTCCTTTCCAGAGCAGCTTCCAGGAACATTCTCATACTAGTGCTGCAGTCCTCGGAGATGTCTTCCAGGGGTGGTGCTTGCTTGTGGATCTATCGAAAGGATCAAAAGAAACCATTGTAATACAAAGAGAAAGGGTTTGGAGGGGACAGATACTGTTTTTGTGCTGATTAAAGTTACCGCCCTAGGAATTTCCTTGCCCTGACTCATGGTTTGGAAGGCTGCCACTTTTTAGCTGCTCTGATGACTCACAAGACAACTGGAGGCTGAGTTAGTTTTGCACTGAAATCACAAGCCTGAAAATCAGCTTTCAAGTTCATCCAAAGGTCTGCAATCCTAGTTATGCAGTTTGGGAAAACAAACACATAACAATCTGGGTGGGGTGGGGAGTCAGGGGGGCAGCAAAAGGGATCACCAGCAGACATGAGCCAGCAACAAACAGTAGACATTTAGGCAAATCTATTATCTGAAGGCCATCAATGTGGGACAGCCTCCACTGAAACTGTATTACATCTTAGGCATATCATGGAGCAGCAATTCAATCCACTTTTGAGAATTAAAGAAATGATTCTGCTTTGTTTTATATGAAGTCCTCTACTCATGCTCCTGTATAGACAGAATTCTCTGGGATACTTCTTTTTCCCTAAGGAATTATGTTTTGGGATTTTTCTTGCTTCGATAAAAAATGTACTAAAACTGATCTCGACTCTAGCTCCAGTTTGCAGAATATAAGGTCTTGGGTCAACCCAAGTAGGCGTTTGAGCACATGACATCCAACTTCCTTTTGCAAAGTTTACTTTCTGCCTGAGAACCTCACAGCTTGCAGTTTCTACCTCCTTCCCACAAAGATCCTGTTCATCCTCCCCAAAGCTTGGCAATATTACTATTTTGGTTTACGGCTTCCAGAATCCCAAAATCTATAACCCAGTGATGCTGGCTAATAGATTCTGGCAGCTGTAAACATCCCATTCCTCACAACAAGAACCAGTCTTGAGCATTGATGCCCCCACAATTCTATGGAGGTTTACCAGCTTGAAAAAAGGGAGTGGAAAAGCCTGAGAGTAAAGCATAGCAGGATCCCAGCTTGCTTTGTAGGTCTCAATGAAAAACACCTTGTTCTTAATAAAAGACTAAACCTCTCAGACTGACCCACTTCATAAGGGATTCTTGTGAAGATAATGTGGGAAGGAAGAGGGCTACATACTTCAGAAGTCAAGGTGGGACTTAAGAAGTGTAATGAATGAAAAAAAAATAAGGTAAATGATCTGCCGTCAGAAATTGCAACAGGGAGATCCACTGGACACCTGCCCAAAGGTTATGCTTACTATGTAGAGGTAGGAGGGGTATGCTGCACGAGGATATCGATTCACCCATGGTGGGATGCCGGTCTGCATGTGGATGATGGTTGCCCCCAGGCTATAGATGTCAGCTTTGGTTGTGTGGCCCCGGCAGAGGATCACTTCTGGGCTCATGTAAATCTGCAAAGGGAACCCAGAGGGAAATAAGTTTCCATGTAAAACTTGCCCTTCTCCCATCTTGAACATCGGAACCCCAATATTTGCATGGGAGAGAGGTGTCATTTTTTGTTTGTTTTGTTTTTGCAAAGGCTGCGCTGTGTGAGACAGCTGGAGCCCAGAGTAAGGGAAGAAAATGGCTGGCAACCACAGTGGATGTCCCTCATAGCAGCATGCTTTGATAGGGTGATGTCTAAATCAGGGCCTCAGATTTAGTGAACTGTCATGCAGAGTGGTATGTCCAAAGAGAGAGGAAATCATTTAGCCCACCAGGTATGTGTACAGCCCTCCGTTCTTTAGAACTTGGTTGCCCCTTACAAAGAACATTCTTGGCCGCAATAGCAGCCTTCATATGAGTCTACAGTGGAAGAGATGGCATGTCACTAAACAGGTATCTTACTACCACTACCACAATTTGACTCCATTGCTTTCAAATCCGACTACGGTATATTTGAGCTAGACAATCTCAGTTTCACCTCTTACGACAAACTAAATGCGATACAATTCTCGGAGAAAGTTCTTAAACACAATTTCCACGGAAATGGGTGGAAGATCATGGTAGGCTTTCCATTAACTTGCCTCCTACCATTTATCCATATCGCAATATCTGCAAGAGAAAAAGGAGCCAGGTTCCTTTCTCATTCACCAACTTGCTCACCTCTGTCCCTCTGAGCTCTTTGGGATAGTAAACATCTTCCGTCATTTGAACACTGAGACCAAAATCCACCAGAACTGCTTTGGTTGACATGAAAACAATATTGCTTGCTAGAAACAAAGGGGACAAAACGAAGGCTTTAAATTCTTCAAGGAAAAGTATCAACATTTACTTTAATGCAGAAACCGTCTGAGGGCATATGGAAGCTAGCACAGGGTGGCAGGGAAGTTACCCCAGGTGTCTAAAGAAATGAGACCCTGGTTGTCAATATTCTGAAGTTACCCCAGGTGTCTAAAGAAATGAGAATGTCAATATTCTACTGCATAGTCACACTGATAGAGGGGCATCAGCATAATGTCAGCAGCACATATTTAGCAAGTTCCTGCTTGAATCTCTCATTGTGCACCAGTTAGGTAGCTTAGCACATGACCAGGAATTCAAACAGAGACTTGTTAATTAGCAGCAACTTCTTACTGTGAGTTACACCATTATCCCTTCCACCAGCATAGCTATTTAACTAGATTTGGGCCTTTATCTTCAAAAGAAGGCTCTTGTCTACCTAAATATGGCAGTATAACATAGCAATTGGTTAGCGTCAGCAATATTGTAAGCTTAGGGAGTGAACCTGAGATGTTGTTGGACTACAGCTTCCATCACCCTAGCCCACTGACCATTTTGGTTGGTGTTGATGGAAGCTGTAGTATATAAGCCAGAAAAGCTGCAGTTTCCTAACCCTGTTCTATTTACGTACCTCAGCAAAATGCTTCAGGCAAACTTTCTCTCAGTGCTTGGCTACATGACTGACTTTTAGATGGCTTATTGTGCATTACTGTTCTAACTGAGTCTTTAGTACTACTTGTGTTTAACATCTCTCAGAGTGGTATTTGTTTGCTCCTTTGTAATATTTGCATACTTATTGATTTAACTTCAATATTGTTTTTTTTAATTATGTAAGCTATCTTTTTATACTCGTTGTTCTTAGCTTTAAATATTGACTTTTAACAATGTAAACCACTCTTGTGCACTAATTGCTTTCAGTTGTTCTTAGCTTTAAATATTGACTTTTAACGATGTAAACCACCATTGTGCACTAACTGCTTTCACTTTTAAATATTGTCTTTCAACAATGTAAGCCATCTTGGATCCTTTTTTAAGGAGAAGGGCAGGGTAAAACTATTTTGAATAAATAAATCCAACAGAGTTTTATGGAACTTATACCTGAGTAAGATTTACCAAGACACTGGTGGCACAATCTTAAAGATTAACAGCTTTCGTTTGGCACATGTTTTCCTGAATCACAGCCTCAGTAATCTGCTACTAACATAGTACAGGAGGTCAAGCTCTGAACTGCCCTTCTCATTTTGGTGCCCTCCAGATATACTGAACTAAAACTCCATTCTAGCTGGAGGATATCAACTTGGGTACGAATGCTCTAAATATAATACTAACAATACTGTATGGTATCACCGATATAAGGATAGGAACAAGCCTTTAAAACAACATGCCAACCTACGTTTTATATCCTGATGTATCACCCTCTTTGAGTGAAGAAATTCCAGCCCTTTGAGGATATGCTTGGTCACCCAGATAATCTCAAATGATCTCATGGGCCCACAGCTTTCCACCTTCTCTAGCACAGAGCCCCCTTCTCCTGCCTCCATGAAGAGGTGGATTGTCTCATCCCACAAGATGGCTCCATAAAGTTCTGCAATATTTTCATGGCGGAAGCAGGCCTGGATCTCAACATCTGATGGCTTAAATTGCTCCACCGGGACCTAGGATGCAAAAAGAAGAGGCATGTGTGAAGTGATACACCACTGCTGCATAGCGCTCTCAAGATGACAAGCTGGTGGCACTGACTAGAAAAGAACTTCAAAGAAGGCTATAAGGGAGGTGTGGGAGAAAAGGGGTACGTGCTCAGTGGTGGGGGCATTACTGAAGTGAAGGGGTAGGTGGGTAAAAAATGGCTAAACTAGCACTGAGTTCTGGAAGCAGAAGCCAACTTGGGTGGTGGTCAGATGAGATGGACTGAAGACCTTCACCACACAAGTATCTAACCTTCTTCTCTGTAGCTTGAAGGGAAATATAGGGCTTGTTTCAGTACTAGGTAAGCCGATGGCTTGAGCAGCACGCAGAAAAATAACGTATTTCTACTATAACAGCCACAATACCCCAGTCACCACAGCCCGGCAGAATGTGGGGACTGCCGGCCTTAATTTAATTGCTAGGCCTGACTGGAATTGACCCATTGAATCAACTGCTGGCAGGTACAGGCAACATTCATGTAAATCACACTGATTTAATGGTTCTACTATAATTGGGAACTAGCCATTGGACCAAGGTTATAGTCTAGAAAATTATATTTATTTATTTACATTTGCATGTTGTCTTTCTGCCTGCTAAGGAGCCCAAGGTGGCTCCCAAGTTATATTAAAAATAAATTGATGAAAACCTCAATAAATTATAACACTAAAAAACAATTAAAGATATAAAAATATTAAAACAAAACAGTGTTTTTACATGACAGCTCTTCCTACTTTCCCACCATATATAACCTGGCTTTCAAGATTTCAAAACAAGATTGAGATTCCTCCCACAAACATTAGCAAGTGAGTCGCTCATACTGAAAACACTGACAATAACTTCTTCAGAGGTATTTAATCCTCTGCTTGAAGTTACCCCCATACACTGAGCTCAGTGAAAAGCCCAAGCCATACAAAAGCCTCCAGTTCTCATTTACTATACAAAAAAAAGGTCATAAATACACCTCAGTTTCCCACAGCATGCACAAAGGCTTAACCATAGCTTGCAATCTAAATGATAAGCACGATTATTAGCACAAACCATAGTTTGGTGTGGCCTGAACTGAGTTTAAAACCCCCTACAGGCATCAGAATCGCAGGATTGTGGCCATACTGGCTTATAACGTTCTTAAAATACCAAGCTGTGAACCGATACATTCACTTTTAAATTCTTCTGCATATATTTGTGTTTTTACCGTGGCTATAATAAAACATGTCTATGCTAATTAGACTCAATAAGAACCACCACCAAAGCTATTAAAATTAGGCTTGTAATTCTCACCAGTACAGCATAAGAGTAACAAATGTTTTCCATATACAGTGGTGCCTCGCAGAACGAGCGCCCCGTAGAGCGATGAATTCGCTCTACGGTGATGCTTTTGCGATCGCTAATGCGATCACAGAGCGATGCCGAAAACGCTGCGGCCGGCCATTTCGGCTGTTCCGGCGGCCATTTTGGACCCGCCGGACAGCTGATCGCAGCTATTTTCACGCCCTCGTTCAGCGAGGGGAGGGCACGAAAATGGGTGCCGGCCATAGAGGGACATCGCTGTACGGTGAGTAAATCAGCCAATTGGAACGCATTAAACTAAGTGTAATGCATTCCAATGGCTTTTTTCTTTCCGTACAGCGAAGTTTCACACAGCGAGGGTTAATCCGGAACGGATTAACCTCGCTGTGCGAGGCACCACTGTAAACATCCTGAATTTACAATATGTGGACAGGCTTCATGCAAGCAGAGGCTCCAAGGATCTCAAGCTAGCATGATTGCATCGGATCTTCAAATAGATTTTCATCCAGGGACCAAGCAACCTCAAATCAAATTAGCTTAAACAATGTGGCTGCACCACATGCCTTCTATTGCACCCCACCCCCATGATCTTAAGTACAATTCAGAATGACATAATGGCTCCCTTGATATACACAATGTTCTTCTCCCCAAAACAACTATCCATGCTCACATGGAGCTCCAAACACATACTAAAATCCACCATGTACATTGTGGACAAATTGTTATCAAACAAAGCAGAGGAAACTGGAACATCCACTGGTGGCTGAGATTGAGTCTCAAGATGTATACCGTGTTTCCCTGAAAATAAGACAGGGTCGTATATTAATTTTTGCTCCAAAAAGATGCATTATGGCTTATTTTCAGGGGATGTTTTTTTATGCACAACAATCTACATTTATTCAAATACAGTCATGTCATCTGGTAGCTGCACAAGAGTGGAGGGCGGGGTTTCACTTAACTGGGGATTATTTTGGGGGTAGGGCTTATATTATGAGCATCCTGAAAAATCATACTAGGTCTTGTTTTCAGGTTAGGTCTTGTTTTCGGGGAAACAGGGTAAAAATACTGGCAATGCAGACTTTCTTCGTATCTAAAAAGCTCAGGCTTGATGTATTTCAACTGTGGCCTTCTTCAGGAGCTAAGCATAAAATAAAAAATATGTATTAATTTAGAAACAGCTGGCTTAGGACAGTTACAGCTCTTTTTTCTAATCTACGCAGTTAATATAAAATATTGATGATATGCACAGAAGAAGATCAATAAACTCCTAGTACAGATTAATGAATGGATACAACATAAAATCCAAGTTCTGAGAACTTTTGTTTCTCGTTTGGTCTATAACAGCTCCAACATTGATCCAAAGTGCAAATGCAGAAGGGATGGTACCTACTTATTCTCAGCTGGCAGATAAGTCAAGGACAGTTAGATACCATGTGCGTATTCATTAATATTTTATATTGTTAACTGTATAGACAAGAAAAGAGCTGTAATTGTCCCAAGCCAGCTGTTTTTAAATGAATATATATTTTTATTTTATGCTTAGCTCTTCAAGGCCACAGCCAAAATGCGTTGAGCCTTTGTTATGTATCACCAGGTTGTTTCCTAAGTGACTCTAATGTAGGTTTCAAGATCTATGAGATGCTCAAGGAGTAATTGACTATTGCTTCCCTGCAGTTAACTTCCATGACTGAGTAGTGATTTGAACTCAAATCTCCTAAGTGATTTGGAGAAATTACATTTAGGTTTTTCTCCATCCCCAAAGTGTCTAAAGACTGTCTCCCTCCATTAGGGAAAGGCAGAAAGCACATCCAATGATCCACTGTGAGCCCAACATATAGCAAACACACAGAAAGAGACATACCAGTTTGCAGGCCATTCGCTTTTTTGTTTCTGTGTCTTGGGCCAAGTAGACTTTCCCAAAAGCTCCCCGAGGTATGAAGTCAGTCCCAATATTTCTATAAGTTAGCTTCCATGGAAACAGGAGCACATCGGAGTCAATCTTATAGCGCCCATTTTTGGGAGTGATCTATTACCAAAAGAAGGGGAAAAATTAAAACAGGAATATTTTTAATCAGTAGTTCAAGCTGAGATACGGGCAGATCTGTTTACTGGGCCTAACATGAGCCTGGACAACTTACTTTATTGGACTGCCAGCTCCCAGAGTTATCCAGCCAGTATAGCTATGGGATTCTGGGAGATGTAGTCCAAAAATATGTTTCTCATGTTCTGAGATGTATGGATCTCAGAACATGAGGCAACCCAGTGATCTCTCTGTGTTTTTAACTAGAGCCTCCATGATCCTTGGTTTATAAAAGTTGTAACCAAAACAGGCGGGGTGCCTAATTGCCTATCCCAACACTATCTTACAGTGGGTCTTAAAGGCTTTCCTGCTCTTGCCTTTCCATTGGACCATTTCAGCAATGTGGAGAGGGGGGATTTGCTGCTTGGGTAACAGCCTATCCTCCATACTACTTTACCCAGGCTTCATGCTCTGGAGAGGACACTTCTCGATACAGAGCATGTTACCATAGTCTCTCGAAACTGAAGGATGCCTATGAAGATGATGAAAGGCTTTCCTGCTCCTCCATCATGACACCGTTCTCCAGTATTCATGGCATGTTTTAACAGCGGTAACCTAGAATCGAACCTGCATCCTTCTGAGTGTCAAGCATCTACTTGGACATGGAGCTGCAGGTGTTTCCCAAAGTTTGAGAAAGTAACTTTTGGGGCCACAACTTCATGGATCTCTTAGGCACTGTGGTCATGCTCGCAAGAAGGGATGTCTGAGAACTAACATTTTTAAAAAGTAACTTTTCCAAATTCTGTGCTTTGTATAAAAGAACCCGATTTTTGATTGAGTTTTCACCTTCCAAAAACAAAGACGCTTTAAAATGTATGGAGCACTCTATATGTAGAGCAAGCAAATGGGAACAGCATGTGAAATATTCAATTTGCCCTAGAAATATTTATAATTCCAAGCAGCGGTTGGCCTCCCATAAAGCATTAAGTTGCACTTGATTATCCGGCCAGAAGAACTCGACCTGAGGCTTTGCATAACAAGTCCACCTGATGGTTTGTTTGCTCATTCCTGGAACCCGCCGACCAATTGCTTCACAAAGCTGTGGGTTTGGCTCGAGAGGACGAACAAAGTATTTCCACATTTCCTGCCATCAGAGGCTACGCAGAGGAGGCAGGGCAGGGGAAGGAGAGTCACTCTTCTGAAATGGATCGTGCAGGTAAAAAGGATCCTGTAACGTCTACTTACATAATCTGTCCCAGGAAGGCTTTGTATTGTATTTGGACACTGCAGTTTGCACACAGCAGAAGGCAAAACTGGATGGAGCTCTTTGAGTTTAAAAGGAGAGCTCCAATGGGTAGCCCAATTAGCATATTAATGTTAACTTGTAGTGATCCTCTTCTGGGTTTTCCAGGAAGAGAATACTCAGAGGTGGTTTCCCAGGCTCTTCTTTCGGGGGTACCCTGGGATTCTGCGGCTGGTTCTTCTCCCCAAAGGCACAGTGGGGAATTGAACCCCCAACCCCCTTGCTCCACAGGCAGATGCCTAAAGCCCTGAGCTATCCAGCCAGCAATTAGGATATTACAAGAGTCCAATGAGCATCCATTAAAAACATGTCCCCTATTAATTAGGGGACATCTTTCTGTTTTTCTTTTTTAATTGCTCTTGGTGGGTTATACCTTTATACAGTACCTGATTGTACTCTACCATGAACAGAAGAAATCAATCCAGTTGTGGAATACTTTTAGATCTAGCATAGACCTCCAGGGGAAGGGAGTTTAATGAATTTCCCCTTCCTCCTGCAACAACTCCACATGGTAGGATATTCTGAGGGTCATCGAACTATAGAATTCTTGAGGATCCAGTACTCCTTGGAGCAGATGTTTGTTTTTTTCATGGGCAGCATGTTTCTTTTAATGGTCAGTCTCCCATTTCCAACATCAGAAACAATCACTGACTCAAAAGCCCTTTCCTGAATATAATACACAATACCTACTAATTCTAGGCTGATGAAAACTGCAGGTAGCAGGTGCCACCTTAGAAGGGCCATTCCTACTTCTCTCTCACACAAGGAGTATTTTTCTGAAGCCTATTTTTACCCATTTATGGATTATCTTAAAATAAATGATGATTTTTACCTTTGAAGCTGCTATTCACTCATACACAAGTTACATTTGCAGACTGAACTAACCGACTGATCTAAGTGCAAGAATGTACTCAACTAAGTTTTGGGTTTGTTTTGTTAATTTTCAAATTCCAGGTTCCCAGGGATATATGCCACCAATCCATGTCACTTCTCCCCACCTCTCTATGAAATGTGTTAATGAAAGTCATGCATGGCTTTAAAACAAAGGGATACCAAGTGCAACCCTAGGGCTACATGTGCACCCCTCAACCTCTCCCTGAATCATCATCATTATCTCAGAACTGCAGAGCTGGACGGGACCCTATGGATCATTGAGATGAGTCCCTGTTAAGGAGGCACAAAATCGGTTCTGTAGCCAGATTCCTAAACCACTGAGCTATCCAGCATTTCTTATTTTTTGGCAAAAAGGTAAATTGTTGAACAGTTCACCTTGCAGCTTGCAGGGGCCCTCTAAGCCATTAAATACGAAAAGTCCCTCCTCCCCATTTTTATTGGAAATAGTTTTTAGCCACTTTTTGTTAGGTTTCCATGAGTTTTTTAAAGCCTGTGCAACTCTGAGAGGGCTCCAGAAGGTGGCCCCTAGATCCACCAAGGTTGCCCTTCTCTGCTTTAGAACATATCCTATATCCCCAATATCACTTTGATTTACTGATTACTGTTAGAAAAGGAAGCAGGGATTTTTAGGCAGTGATGGCACATCATCCTATCAGTTATAGCTTAGGGGTAGGGTATATGCTGCATAAGCAGAAGGTCCCAGGTCAAATCCCAGCATCTCTAGGAAAGGCTGAGATACCATCAGCTGGGGTAGATAATATTCATCAATATGGACCCATGGTTTGATTCATCGAAGGCAGCTCCCTATGGGCCTACAGAAGAAATATAGGTCAATGGGATCTATACACCATCCCATAATATAGTTCAGTGTCCAGCCAATACTGGCCTCCCAATAATCATTATCTGTACAGAGGTGGACACTTAAAATATTTGTGTATAGTTAAAGAGGCAATTGATGAATTGGCTCTTAGCTATGATAATGCCAGGTGGGGTGACAGCCCCAGGGAACAGGAAAAGGGAATTAAAAGTGATCAGGACCACAACATACTCCAGTGCCCATGACCCAAATAAGTAAAACAAACAAATCTCCTGAAGGCTGTGAGGTCTTGCCCCACTACTTCCAGCATTACCAAAAGCAGAGGTTCACATAGCATGGCTCAGCTCAAAGTAACCTGAAGGAATTATGTTTGGGGTGATGACACAGTGGCTGAAATCCAGCAGTAAGTCACAACCAGAGTAGGTTCATTGAATCAGTGTAGATTTGGTGAGTCAACATCTATATAAGTACTACTGATTCAATGGGTCTACTCTAGCTGTGACCTACTACTGGACTCAGCCAATGGCTACTTAGAATTAGAAAATATAGTTTTAAATGGCTTTGCTACCCATGGTTTGTGCTAAATGCGACTTGGCTTAATTTGTGAAATGACAAATATTCACCCGCGAATGTGTCTAGGGCAAGATATTTTGAACAGAAAGAGGTTGGTAGTGACAGGCAGCTCTAAACAACAGTTTCATGGATGTTTGGAAGCTCCATCTTGGGGTTTGGCTTTCAAACCATTGTAAATGCAAACCACAGTTTCATGTTACGTCTTAGCTGATTGCAGCTTACACAGGTGAAATCTCGTGATGAATTTCCTCTGTAAAATCCAGTGATCAACAAACAAATTGGGAGGGACAAACAATGGAAAGGCATGTGATCTACATGCTAAAGGTCCCCAAGTATCCACTTCTGGCATCTTCAGGTAGAGCTGAGAAAAATTCCAGACTGAAACCCTGGACACTGCCACTTGTCAGCACAACAGACTGATGGAGTAAGCCAACTTCCTGCACTCCTGTGATAACTGCACTGCTTACACACAATGAATTTTAAACAGGTAGACCATAATTGAATATTACAGCTCCATATGGGCAGCCAGGGTTATTGCCGATAGATGAGAGAGATGGGAAGGACAAGTAGTTTCTCGCTCTTCACCATACAGTGGCCTGGCCTGGACAAAACACCTTATCCAACTTCTGAATCATTGTGGCCCAGGTGGATCTACACCATTGAGACTCAAATCCGTCAACCAATTTGTTAGCAAATCCCTTGATATCCAACAGTAATCAATCCCCAGAAAAGCATCCAAAAGGACAAGAGCTGGCTTTTCCAGAAAGCAACATACCATATTTAATATGATGCCTGATTCTTGTCTTCTGTGTCTGCAAATCTGCTTTGCCATGTTGGACACTTGGTTCGCAAAAGCAAGTAAGTCTTCCACGGTACCATACTTGACAGACGATAGCAGAGAAACTTCCCTTCTGCTGAAGAGCAAGGACTCTGTGTGCTCCTCGTTTTTGTTCATCTCCGGGCACAGAGTAAGGACACTGTCTTTATAACCCGCCAGGTCTCTGCTAGGGTAAAGATTCTCCATGATGTCAATCACTTCAGACATATTCAGGTCTGTTAGCAATAAATCAATATCTTTATTGTCACTGTCCATGCTCATATACTCCATCACTGTCTCTCTTCTTAGTATTATTCTACCTGTAAGAGGCGAGATAAAAACAGAACATTGTCTCACAGTTGGCTAAAGGGTAAAGCTAACAGATTTCAACATAGAAAATATTGTTCATGTGCAAACAAAAAATACTTATATATACACATTCTGATCTATACACACTTATCCATCCAATGAAGAAAGCTGCAGAGAGCAGAGTGCTGCAGTTTACACACAAGCAAGGTACAACCATTCACTCATTTACATGGGCTTATGGTTGTGATCCTACATACATTTATGTAGCAGCAGATCCACTGAGATCAGAAGGACTTACAAATAGCCATCTCTAGGATCAGGCCACTGGCTCCATAAAGCAATCATACCCACACCTACTAAAAAAGCATGAATGAGTGAAGCCACTGGCAAGCTGATAGTGAAGAAGAGACTGGGGACTGGATGTGACAGTGAGCCATTCAAGGTCCCAGAGCAGATGTTTAAAAATTGCCAGGGAAGCTGTAGGGGCTGGGGAAACCCCACACCATCGCTTTCACTCTTGGGCAGACTCCTTCCTGGTATCTCAACTCAAAATCAGGAAGTGCCCCCTTGTATTTTTTTTGGACCACAGCATCAAGAACATCTGGACACTGGCCAATGAAGCAAGGGGAATTTTGAGAGGCTGTACTTTTAAAAGAAACTCTCCCAAATTCTTTTCTTGCGATCTCTTTTCTGTCTCCATTTCTATTTTTGTTTCAAAATGCTTTCAAATACAGAAGCAATCCAGGGAAGTTTGGAACCAGAAGTCTTGAACCACTGAAGAAGCAGTCAAGAATCCTCTGAGGAGAAGGCATCAGGGAGCCATTGCAGCCTTTCCTGTACACTGAAAGAACAGAAGCTACAGCATAAGGCAACAGCTCACTCTGGACTGTTCAAAGGCATGTTCAAAGTCACAAACATCCCTCTACCTTCTCCACTATGGCAATCAAAGAACCAACACAGTGAAGAGAATTTTGCAAACATCATGCAATTTTAACTTGGTAAACATTGTTTACAGCATTGCATAGTACCACTTAAAAGGAAAAAAATTGCAAAATTCCACGTTACATTATATTACTCAAAATTTTCTACAACTGTACAGTGATCACCATTCTCTATCCCTTGGGCTAGCTCCCTCTGGGTGTTTTTTTTTTCTTTTCTTACTTTATCAAATTCATAACATAGTTTGAATAAGGGGATGAGGGAGGAAAAGGGAACTTACAGGAATCCAAAACTGACATGTCAACTAAAAGCACTTTGCAGGCCACAATCAGAATCTGAAGGAACTTTCCTATTCACAACACACTCCTTAAAAACCTGGAAAAACAAGGATTGCATTATTTTAGACAATCAGGTGACTGGAAATCCCCCAACACATACATCTCTCCACAGGCAGTGCTCACATCAGTAGAAAAGGCAGCCGGCCTTGAGCAATCTCTGGCTCCAAAAAGGCCAAACCTATTATCTGAAGTTGTATTTGTAAAAGCACAGACAAAGTCAAGCTGCCACTTAGTACCCAGTTCACAGAGATAAAGCTGCTTTCTAGTTTGTTTTTGTTAAGTTTTATGAAAAACAACAACAAAACAGCCTCCTTCTCCGTAATCCTAAATTCATTTGGCACTGAGTTCAGAGGAAGAAATAGAAAATTCCACTGAAAAGGGGAATTCCTCCTGGAAAGATGAAACATCCAGAACAAAGTGAGATTTCCACGCTCTCAAACTTACAGATGTGATTGAAAATGGACTCTGCTTTGAGAAGGCTCTGAAATGCATCCTATCCACCCATTATTTTTCAACCATAATGGAAAGATAACGCCTACCTGTCTTCGGGCTGAAGACAAGTGTCCCTCGACTCAACTGGCTTGCTTAACACACTCACATGTATCTCCACAGATGACAAGAAAGATAAACTGGACAGTGACACAGATGGAAAGGAGGAAAACGTGTCACTCCCTCCGAAGGTTGGGCAGGCGACACCTGATCTCCTGAAGCTGTCAGGCAGCGTAACGTGCGTGCCAGGCTATCGTTTCTGGTCAAGATCATTATCTCCATTCTACTCATTACAAGGCTTGTGCACAGAGTCATGGACAACAGTCTACACTAAAGGGCCACATTTTGAATAAGAGCTGCACAGCCACCTTAACAAAAACAAAACCCTATATACTGTGCTGTAATTCCTTTGCCCATACAACATTCTTATTTATTATTATTATTAATTTAATTTATATCCCGCCTATCTAGTCGTGGTGGACTACTCTAGGCGGCCAACTATGTGGACCACTCAGAAAGTGGTCAAGGGCCTTAGCTCTACCTAAGCTTCCTATTCTTTCTATAATGTGCAGCACAAGTGTACTTTGAGTGGTTGACTACCATATAGTCCTATCAGACTCTGCTACTATCAGTGGTGTTCAAAAGACAAGCACCTCCCTCTACTCCAGAGCCTAGTGCTTCTATTTAAAAATTCTGCAAAGGGACCTTATTAGGGACTCACCCAAGTGATATTTCCACAGCAGCTGATTAAGTTCCCAGTAGAGTTTCATGGGGAACAAGTTCATAGGAGAAGTTCAAGATACACCAACATCATGAGCTAATACAATGCTTGGAGATCTGTGTTTGGGGATTACCACACTCATATTGACATCTGTCTTCCAACACATACGGTTATTATTTAGGAAGGGATTAAAATGACAGTAGAAAGAAGAACTTAATATTAGATAAGAAGAATGAATCTCTTATGTACTTCTATCTACATATCAGAGATTCTCCAACTGATCAGGGATACAGTGATGCAGATTCACTGATTACCTTTAATCACCATGCTTGGTTAGACCAACGGGGGATCCTATGTTGTTGAATTATGCCCTTTCATCATTGATTCTAATCACCTCTTGACTACTTCTGTATCTCAAAACCACCCAGTATTCTCTGGTACAAAGATCACTGAAGGTGACCTTGTTATTATTTATTCAGTATTTTATTCCACAGGGATATAGGGGTGAGTCAAGAGTTCCTAAATATCCTACACAACCTTTTTATCAGATCCATACAGATTTATAACCTGTGTAGAGGAACAATTCCCAATATCAGGGCTCCAGACATTCCTGAACTACAACTTCCAGAAGCCTTCACTATTGGGAATTGTAGTCCAGGATCCCCAAATTTGGGGCCCATTTATGTGTGGTATATATAGAAAGTTATTTTCTTGGAAGCCACTAAAAACTGTGACACACACACACACACACACACACACACACACACAGTTTTCAAGACCTGGGCACACTGATTAACAACATGATAGTCTGGAGGTCACTAATTCATGGGGTCACATAACTCAATGGTGACCTGATAGCACACAGCAACAACAATAATTTTTAAAAATGAGCTAAACATCACTGAGATTAGCTTACTACTTTTATAATCAGCTGTTAATTAACCCAATGTATTGAGGTCAATTTTCCCTTAGTATGCAGATCAAGGAAGAACAATGCAGTTCTGTGTCAAATTGAGACAACAGAAGAGGGATTATCAGGAAATTGCCAATGGAGAGGGTAAGTAGTTTTAAGAATTTAGGGACTCACTGCATCTGATATAGATCACTGATGATAATAATGAGGCAAATGAACAGAATAGCTTGCAGTCTTATACAGCACTGGTTCTTAACCTTGGGTTACTCAGGAGTTTTGGACTGCAACTCCCAGAAGCCTTCACCACCGTGCTGGCTGGGGTTTCTGGGAGTTGCAGTTCAAAAACATCCGAGTAACAAAGATTAAGAACCACTGTTATACAGGATTGTGGAAGCATGCTTTGGGAAGATAGAGGAATATGTGTACATATTTACTCAGTGTATGGCTTTTTCGTGTGTTTTTTCCTCTAGAATATTTTCAAAAATATATCTGTTTTAAAACAAGATAAAGCTCTAGCTCAACAAAGCTCAGCAACTGGAAGCTAAGATTCATGTCTTTATAGAAGTGCCTCATGATCAGCAAAAATATCATACAGCATCAAAAGCTGCACTCACAATTTGCCCTAAACTTTGCCTTGGTCTCTTAGGTCCAAATCTAGATGGACGTAAGGATGGATGATCTAGGACCAACAAAAACATCCCCCACTACCCTCCATTTCCTCATGAAACATCTCACTGCTAGTCTGGATGACCTACAAGCTACATTGTATGATAGTTTCCCCCAACATCTGCAGACTTCCAGATGTTTTGGGATTTCCATCATTTCTCACCATGAACGATATTTGTTGGGGCTGATGGGAATTGCAGTCCAAAACATCTGGAGGATACCAGGTAGGCAAAGGCTGCTGCAGAATATATAGCAGCCAAGAAGGTGTAGGCCAACTTCTATTATTTATTTTAAATGTTTCTATCTTACTTATCTCCCAGGTTGCTTAACACACAATGAGAAGGGAAAGGCACATGGTCAATGAAGGCAGAAATCCAGTGAACTCTCAAGTGGCTGACCAGTGGGGCCATTAAGAGAGGCGTAAGCAAACATTCCTTTATCTGGGACAGAGACACCCATGGGCGGCATGTGTTCCCACTGAGTAGAAACATGACCTCATTTGGAAGCAAATGTTTTTCCACAACACTTCTCCACTAACCTGATTCATCCAACACACTCCTATCATCAAATCAACAACACTGCAGATGATTCAGGATTGGAGCATCCAAACAGACATGAGGTTGGTAGTGTATTTTTAGCTACTCCACCCAAAATGGCAAGGCAAAGATTTTCAGAAGATGCCATTGCTTCTTTCCATCCAGGTAAATTAACTTTAGAAGCTCCATTTTGGAAAGAGCAGCCCTTTTATCCAGTTATCCTAATACTTTGAGAAGTACAATCCTGGATCAGACCATAGGCTTATGTAGTTCATCACTGTTTTCCAAGTGTGGCTAGATAGCTATTTCTGGGTAGCCCATCAGCAAGACATGAACCCAACAGCACCCTCCATCTTGTGTCCCCCAGTATTCTGCCTCTGATAATGGAGGTCGTATCTATCCATCCTATCCATCCTTATCAGTAGATACTGGTGGCTCTAACTTCCATTACTTTATCTAGAGACATCTGAGATCTTAGCCACTTAAGCCATTGCTGGACAATATGTAGGCCCTCAGATTATGTTGACGTGCAACTCCTATATTTCATCACCTCTGACTATGTTGGCTAAGGCTGATAGGAACTGCAATCCAACATCTGTAGGGACACAAGTTGCCCATCTGGGGTTTAAGTGAAGATGACAGAAACCAAACCAGGGACTTTCTCCATGTCATGGCGGACACTCTTGCACTGAGCTCCTCTCAAAGAGCAAAGATACATATACATATACATCTTATACCAGTTCACGTCCTCTCAAAGAGCAAAGATACATATACATCTTATACCAGTTCACACATACATCTTAGGATCAAACTAGAAATTATGGGAAATGTGTATTCCCTGCAACTAGCCCATGCATATTAAGAGGAATTAACATGCATGGGATTTCCTCAAAGTTGCAAGTCTCAGCAATTAGACTTGAAAAGTAAGCTTATGTTCACCTTTCAGTGACCAATCACAAAACAAAAAAATACAGTGGTACCTCGATTTAAGAACTTAATCCGTATTGGGACTGCGTTCTTAAGTCGAAACGTTCTTAAGTCGAAGCACCATTTCCCATAGGAATGAACTGAAAACCATTTAATCTGTATCTGCTGTTTTTTGTTCTTAAATCGAGGCGCTGTTCTTAAATCGAAGCATTGGTTCCCACAGGAACTAATGCAAAGCCGGTTAATCCGTATCTACCACTAGGGGGGATTTTTTCTTCGTCTTTTGACCTACGGAGAACTTGGCTCAAAAAAGAGGGCAGGAAAGGGTTTTTTCCCTCTTTTTTGGTTCTTAAGTCGAGGCTCCATTCTCAAGTCGAAGCAACTTTTTGCGAACGGAGCTGTTCTTAACTCGAATCGTTCTTATGTAGGGACATTCTCAACTCAAAGTACCACGGTAACTGCATGCAAGGTACATAGGTGAAGAAAAGCATGTTCTATGACAAAACAGATATTATGCATCACTTGAAGGAGCACCACATCAAATTCTATGCTAACCGTATCATTTCATTTGAGCCTCAAAAACACTTTCTTTGATTTTGATTTATAATTCCTCTACCCACAAAAAAAAGAGGAACAGACATGCTGTCAACTAGCATGCTTTCCCACACAACCCAGAATTCCCCTGTAAAATTTCCTTAGGGAGACCCCAAGAAATTGAGTAGGACATGTTTTCTTTTCTGGTTGGCTCAGGAGGGCCACTGTTTAAATTACCCTCTTCATTCTTGGTAATATTGCTCGTGCTACAACCTGACCAAAAAATAGCAAGTGAAAAAAAAAGGAAGAACTGCAACTTCTGAATACTATTTTTACAGATTCAGCCGCAACTGAAGCCTCACACACATTTCAGTTGCATTTTCATTGGTAAGCCTCTGTCAAAACCACTATCCTGTGTAAACAATATAATAAACATTTAGAAGACTTACATTTCTGGACTACAGCTCCCAGAATGCCCTGGCCAACATGGCCACTAGCCATGATTTGCTTGAGAAATCTAGGAGTTCTACTGGTAAAAAAAAGGGTGATTCTTCAAAACTGCAGAATTCTTCCCCTAAATATGCAAATCATGCTTCCCAGTTACATCAAATCTTTCCTCTAAGGAAGAATGGACAAAATTTAGCCCTTGGGCTGTACTCAATTCTCCAATGCCTTTTCTTTCCAACAGTCTACAGCCCCATCAGGCTCCTCAAAATGATTTCCTGTACAACGTTTAACATAAGCAAAACAAAACAAACAAAATCTGTTTTCTCAAAACTCGATGGGGGCTTCCTGTCACTTCTGGTTTCACTTTTCACATTTTGACAATATTTGTGACCTTGAGCAGGATCCCATCCTTGGATTGTATGCAGCTTGAGGATTCTGGGGACAGAAAACTGACTGACACTCACTCACTCACTCACTCACTCACTCACTCACTCACTCACTCTCTCTCTCTCTCTCTCTCTCTCTCACACACACACACACACACACACACACACACACACTAAACTACTGAAATTTGGGTGGAACAGCTCTAAACAATGTTGTGTTGCATACACCTCAATTGCCAAGGTGCCTCAGCCATTAGGATCTTCTGCACTTCT